AGCGAAGCAAGTAGGTGAAATGGAGCTAGCCAAACGCCACATGATCGGGGCGCAAAACGTGACGACCATCATCAAAGCAGTCGAAGCCGGACAGCCGGTCGATCTAACTCAATTGCCATCCAAACCCAGTCTGAACACAGTTTTCAACGGACCGATTTTGGGTGGAATAGCATGTGAACCACCAGCTTTGGTTCGATTAGATTTGGAAAACGCTGCCGGTACGTAATCTTCTGAAAGTCTCGTGTACTCCGCCTCTTCGCTCAATAGTTATCGAATAGTTTGATTTTGCGAACGTCGTCATATACGTTCAAACTGTTTAATAATAAAGTGCTCTGGGCAGCCTTTTAAGTTACGTTATCCATCACCAGTATCGCACCCTTACCAAATTCAACCTGATATGAGCTCGAGCATAAAGTGTTGCTTCATCCACTAGTCACGCAATAGAGTAATCTTGGGCCGGACCTCAAAAGCTTGCCCCATGGTAATAATACATGAAGTAGCGTCATTTCATCCTTAGTGTTGAACTCGATATACTTATCCAAACACTGACTGACTCCGTGGATCGCAAGTTAATACCAGGCTCTGAAAGATGAATAAGCAGAAAATTCGTACTGTCAAGGTAATCTGCCTTACATGAGTAAATCAATTTGAATTAAATTGTTAACCAGTCATTGTAATAAAATTTCATATCATTACATGATTTTTACCAAAATTTATATGCTTTTCTTAAAAGGGCTACCCGCTTAGCAAATTATATACGGTCAATCTCCTGCCATGTCGCACCCCTGAGAAGTCGCATTTTCCAATATCTTTCCACTTTTTTGAAAACCTAAATCAACCGTATGCCTAATAACGTAGTTTCCGACTATGCAATGTTGCGCCCCTCAGTATATCGCAGTTCCTGATACCTACTCACTTGGTCGTTGATCGATCTTCGGGACGGCCTTTGACCAGCCAATTTGCAATGTCGTAGTCAGCCAATGACGTTTCCCCTAGTGTGACACGAGCATGACACCGTTCAGTGATTGGAAACTCTTTACAAGGAAGACGCACCACTGCCAACAATCAAAGAGGATGTCAGTTGACATCAAAATGCGCAAGCTCCTATCGATGAGAACGTGTTGGATAACCTGGATCATCCAGGTGCAACTCAGAGTCCCGTAGCCGAATTACTTGGTATTTCAAGAAAATCTGTTTAGTGTGGTAATTCATCGAATCACTATCGGATAATTTATGAACCCTAGAGCATTTCAGGAAAGATGCCACCTGAAAGCCAACGAAAAGTTTAAGACAGTGAATGAGGTAACATTGGCTTGGTTTACTGCTATGAGGGAAAAGCACACTGAGAGAGCATCATTTGTAAGACGGCAATCCAGCCAACACAAAAATGCATAATCATGATTTCAAGGCTTCCAAAATTTGATTTCGCTCGTGGTGAGGCAGATGTGTTTTCAATCCCCCAATGTAAGAGACAAGCAACTACTCATGTTCATTACTTTATAGGTGGGGAAAGTGTGGCGGTACCACGTGATGCAGTGGATGAGTTTCGATCGCGGTTAACGCAACTGATCCATGAATACGCTGACTGTGATATTTTCAATACCGATGAAACAGCCTTGTATTACAAGTAGCTCTCAGAAAGACCATCAAGTCTCAACGGAAAAACAGTTTGTCGATCCAAGAAATCCTAAGAAAGATTCAATTTACGGCTTTGTGGGAGCATGGCTGGAGAAAAGTTACCGCCGTTGGTTATTAGAAGATTTCCAACTCCGCGATATCTCCGAGCTATAGATAGAAAAAGCCTTCCCTGCAGTCTTCAAAGTACCCATGAATGACTTCTGCGTTATTTCACAGTTAAACATAGGATGTCAACCGCAAGATATTTTTTAAAAGTCGCTCTATTTTATTACTTATCGATAACAACCCTTATCATAGGAAAGCTGCAGTATTCACCAATGTCAAATTAGTTCGGCTGCTTCCGAACTGTTATTTAATGTTACAACCGGTGAATGAGGGTGTCATTTGGTCTTTCAAATGTTCGTTTCGGAAACATTTACTGCAATATGTTTTGTCTTTGATCGGAGATGAGTAACTTAGCGTGAAATCCGAAATGGACATCCTCATGGGCATGCATTTGGTCTGGAAGGCAAAGGTTTTTCCTCTCAATTCTGTGGGGCACTCGAATGTGGTAATTTATGTTGCTGTGGTCACCAAAGCCACGGTCATTCGGTCCATCGATGGGCTCTGTCGCACTAACGTGTAAACGGGTGAACGATAATCGCGCTTGACCGGTAAGTGGGTTAAGATGTCAAATCCAAGCGATCGATAAACGCCGTCTTCAGGACGCGCCTGTCTGAATGAGTGAACGATAATCGCACTTGTCCTTGTTAGACCACTGATGAACTTAGATAAGACATTGACCAAAGGTCAACATAACCCGGGTTTGACGCGGCCCTGACTGTCTGAGCGATGCACTTATAATTTGTGAATCACATGTTGAACTTAATCCGTCACTTATGTTTCACGACACTGGCCGTAACGAATGTATCGATCGATTTGGACATATACTGGCCGAAACAAAAGCGAACGAACGAGTAGATGTCCACAGAGTTGGTGCTACACATTTTTCATCAGGAAATCATGAATAGACTGCACAGCGAACAATCAGTTTGGAATATAAGAAGTGAATACACTGAGTACACCCCGTAACAGATATTTCATTTATTTTAGATGGTATGATTTCATTCGGATGAGATTTCTGTCTCGTGTTCGACCTGGCTCAATCTTGTTTTCATCGAATGGGTTGTGCTTATTATTATAGCTAAAACAAAGTCGAAACGCGAAGGAATTTCTTCTCGATATATCGCATTTACATATTTAGTTCGATTAGTCAGTAGGATAATACAAGGCCTGGGGTGATGTTGAATGAATGTTTGTGTGCAAAATGTTTGGTTGGCGCCGGGGCCACGGTGATCACTTACCCCCTGGTCCCAGGTGGAGGCTCGCCCTTACACTCTGGCAGGTTGAAGCCTGCGACAATCCCTAATCGGGCTCGCTCGGGCGCGATAGGGCGGTGGTGGCCCGGTGGTAACGTCACCAAGTTATCACTCCGTATACGAGTGTTCTAATCCCACCGCCNCCGCCTGACTTTCCCCATTTATGTGTTGTATGGCAGCCCTTTGACTGGCCGCTTCCCCTATCCTGAAAATTGTATGTTTGCTTATTCAATAAAAGGAAGTAAAAATGAAAAAATGAAAAAACAAAAGCTATGGAGTCATGATAATTGGATGGGGAAAGCCGCATAAAAATGTGTGAATTGAACACAATATGAAAGGTGTTAGTCAAGAATGAATAAAACAGGTGTGAAAATTTGCAAAAAAGACTGTAAATGCGAAGTGGGGGAGGGAGGGAACAGAAAGTGTCGCATAGAGATATGGTTAATTGTTTTTATGACCATGGTAACAGAAGCGTCTAAACCAGATTACGTTGCTTGCACAACTCCGCCTTCATGATCCTAATTGCTATAGACTCCGCAGTTGTTAGGATTTTCTTACGTAATCCTTTGGTGTGGTTCTTAGGTGCAGTGAATAAACATGTCAATGATGTTTCTGGTTCAGGTGATACTGTTACCATAGTTATAACAACAATTACCTATGTGACACTTCTTATNACTCCGCCTTCATGATCCTAATTGCTATAGACTCCGCAGTTGTTAGGATTTTCTTACGTAATCCTTTGGTGTGGTTCTTAGGTGCAGTAAAGAAACTTGTAAATGCTGGTTCTGTGTCAATTCCGTGTCCACTGTGGACGAAATGTTGCAGGATTGAGCTGTTCAAGCTTCTCACTGTTCCTTTTCGAAGAGTGGCAGGGCAATTTTGAGATATTCTCTTGGACTGATGCCTCGTTGTGTGTCCGATATACCGAGCACCACAAGTGCACGTCAACTGGAATAGAACAAAAGATTGAGACTGATGACACAATTCATCCTTAAGCTGTTGAACAATGAACGGCTTAGTCCTCGGGAAAGCAGTTGGCAATTTCTTCAGATAGCTGATATTCCAAGCTTTCTAATATTCTGTCTCCCTTGAAAGGAACGTTGACAAAAACCTCTTTCTTTCTATCATTTGTGTTTCTTCATGGTTTGGTTTTGACTCCATATATCGCTAAACAAAAGTCTTTGGATATCCGTTCTTCCTGAGGATATCTCTTATGTAGGTAAGCTCTTCATTCAGGGTCCCCGGACCATAAGTTATCCTTGCCTTGTATGATAAACAGTTCACTAAATTATGTTTATACCTCAGTGGGACTTTGAAAGTGTGTGTTGCACAACCCACGTGCGTTTACGGTATACTGTTCCTTCTATATAGTCGTCATCTGTAGGACGAAGACCAATCTCCAGAAAGGCAAGAAAGTTGTCTTTTTCTATCTCGAATGTAAATCGTATACCCGGATGAGCGTTGTTAAATATTTGAAGTAAGTTTTTAATGTACTTTCCGGATTCACAAATGATGAACTTATCTGGTTTATAGATCTTGACTGTCAATTATATTCCTCAATGGTGCTTCTTCGAGCTTGGCTAAAAATGCATCTGCCAGGAGTGCGTCAAGCGATGATCCCACTGCTAAACCATCCTTCTGTCGATAGTACTTTTGATTGTACAAAAACTGTACGTTCCAAGTACATCTCAGTATGAGTTCTTTAAGTTTTGTCACGCGCATTTCGATCTGAATATTGTTTTCAGTAATGTGTTGACAAATATAGTCTACCATCTCCAGCAGTGATGCATATGTGGATGAAGATTCGAAATCAAAGGAGAGCATGATCCTACATGACACGTCTTGAATCCTGATTCTATCAACGAATGCGAAAGAATCTTTTACGCTATATCTGGTTAGTGATTTGTACACATGCTGTAGAATCCACTGTGCTACGGCGTGGTAGGCTGGACTACTCATGTCAATCATTGGTTTAAGTGGCACATTTGGCTTGTGAATTTTTGGCAATCCATAGAGTCTCGGTGGTTGACATCCACATGGAATGAGTTTATCAAATGTCGCCTTGGAGACGTCATTTTCTGCCTTAAGTTGCTTCAATATCTCCGTAAGGTTCGTTTCAGATTCCTGCGTTTTATCCTTCTCTTTGACATCGTGGCTGAATTTGCTGTCATCAGCAAGTATAGCCCCCAACCCATCATCATATTCAGACCGGTCTGACATCACCCATCCTGCACCTTTGTCTGGTATTGAAACAATAACACTCCGAGTTTTGATCAATTCTTTGATGGCATTTCTATGCTACCTTTTCAATATCCCCTTGTCCTGGATTTTCTTTTCTTAAAATAAACAGTTTCTGAGAAGTCTCGAATCCAGAGCACCCCCGTCAAAATCCCCGGAGAACCCAGAGATGTCCACCTTTTTCTATC